CAGAATCACAGGTACACTGCAAGTACAATAAGAAGATCGCATCTTCAATTGATACCACAATAACCTTGTACATATCATCTAATGCATTCTCATAACATCGATGTATTCCACAAGAGACAAACGGTTCGTGCATACAAGGCCTCTAGAGATATTACGAAGATCGAGTCTAACTTTTTTATTCACGGAAAAATTAACTATTGTCATAGATAGAAGTTTTTTTATGCCATTTGTTTGGCATTTTACAGGTAGGAGCTTCGTCATCATGGGCAAATTTATTTCATTGGTACAGATTAAGCTTGCATTTCAATCAATACGTTTTAGTTGATATCGAGCATATTTTTACACATGAGACAAATATATACCATAGGTAGTTTATGGGGAGCAGATATCAGATCGGATGGTCCAACTGCCGTCGGTGGTTTTACAGATCAGAGTTACTGTTGGTATTAAGTACACCAACTAAAATCGCCAGAAGTGATGCACTGGGAAAGCTATCGGAAATTCATTTAATTAACGCATGGGTGTAAGAAAAAAGGTATCGGAGTCTAAAAAACTCTCATATATATATATGTTTCTTTTAAGCCTTACCTGTTTGGCTACTTGTATATACCGTTCGAACGTACGTTTCTTTTTTCATACGCTCGTTCTAATTCATGCCTTTAGGTTTCAATGGTTGATAAAATCTTCGTAAAAGATTGTAGCATATATGGTGTGAACCTCATGTCTTACAGACTTCATAAAGATGCTTCACAAAACTCAATAATGGCATCTTAGAACTAGAGGTTGTATCCTGCTCCTCTGATCGATGCTCTTCAAGGTCGATAAAAATAGCCTGAAGGCATTTTTAAAGGAAAACGGCCAACAAAGCAACTAGAAGTTGGACTGAAAATTAACCTCCGATTTCTCAGTTCCTCTTAGCATCTTGTGTGCCGTCACGCATCAGGCAACGTGCAACCACAATGATAAATTTCTACACAAAATTCTCACGGCTGGTGTCTCAACAATAACATAAAGGAGAAAGAAGAATAGATAGCTTTGGGGAATTAGACCTATGCCCAATGTCAAGTCGAATTTCGGTCTTAGGAAGACCATGATTCACGTTTAGTGTGATTGGATATGTTCTAAACACTGCCAAATGTTCGTTACGAGTAATACAGTGAACAACGATGGGAATGTGACCCAGCTGCGGTAAGTAAACGGAGCTACTTGACAGACAAGATCCGATGGTCAAAACGAAGATAACCATTTTCACGACAATGCCAAAGCACATATGGCAAAGGTTGCTAACGCCCTTCTATGAAAGCCTGAGCGAGAGGTTAGTTTCATCCGTCGTCCTTTCCAGAGTTTACGCAGACGGATTATCGTTTATTCCAATCACGGACAAGTGTTATCCATAATCATCAAATACTGGCTGGACAAATTTGTCTTCAACACCAGACCTAAAAACCTCTGGCGACATGAAGTAAACGAATTATTTGACATATGGAAAAGATCGTAGGAAGTGATAGCAACCGCGTAATCAATCAATTTATTACTGGAATTCAAGTGCAAAGGTGCGCCTTTTGTTGGGCTGTCAAGGACTGTCATTGTCATATTATTTTAAAACTCAGTTAGCGTCGTCGCCTAACTTTTTAACGCCTTCGACTATACCTAGTGTGCGAACATGTCCTCTAAATCGCCTCTTAGGTAAGGACCCGCCTTCAGCTAGAAGGTCTATCCGGAGTGGGTCTTGCTCTAGCGGGCCTAAGAATTAGCGTGGAAACAATATGTCACAGTAACTGTTCATAAATGCTGAAATTTGAACTAGTGATTATCGCGTGTTCATAGATGCCATGAAAACGTATTGGATACTAAGCACACAAGCTGCCCAGATCGTGGCGCCTCTTCCATTTTAGTTAATATAGATAGATGTAATAATTAAAGGAAGTTGCCAAGTAATATCGGTGTCATATTATTAGGGTAGTCTTACATTCAAGTAATGGCGCTATGAAAAAAACGTTGAGCCAAGCATATTAGATACGTTGATACTTGCTTATGGGTCCCTCTCTGGTTTGAGATGTACACATTGAAGGCCATGCAACTTATGTAAGCTAGCGCATAGGAGATGAATTTAGTGACAAAGCATTAGAAGATTGAATCCTAATAAATGGTTCCCTGTGGGAATCACAGGAAGTCTAGGCTGGTGTTCGATTTCCTAAGTTTAGCCTGCACGAAAGGAACACGACTAGACGTCTACCAAACTTATGTCACTTCAATCAAGTTAATTATGGCTAGAAACAGCTCGGTCTTGAAACAGTTTTTTGGGAATCTGGTCAGCCAAACGCAATCATCTTCAACTACATTTTCCGAAGACAAGTTGGAACTATGAATAAGGGAGTTGACTTTCACGAAATGCAGATCGGTCGCATTTATCTCCAAATATACCAAATTGAAACAACATTCATTACGCACAGAATTAGATAAAATTACGCCATATATAAAACGTAAGAAGCTGATTAATTTGCACTTTTAAGTGTTCACATCTGCGCTAAAGTCAAATCAAATACGAATAACTGAATATATTGTTTTACTTTAATATTGTGGTATCGAAGATGCTATTAAACTTACCGGCTTACTTAAAACAAAATGGCCGCGCAATGAAATTAATCCAATGCACTTTCAAACTACGTCCATAAACATCACACGTATTAAAGATTTTACCGCTGAATTTTTTGTGCGCAAATTCTGTGTCAAACCATAACATCGCTACCGACCGCTGTCACTAACAGCGGTACTTCAATTATCGAGTATCGCGTTTTGTTAAATGATCGAAACGTCCTTCATAATCTCGACCATCGACTCAATGCATCTTTCCGTGACTCTCACCCATGTCCTTTCCCACCGACCTCGCCGTTCCCAGCAACGGGAAATAGGGAACTTGATTTTTTCCAACTTGGGAGCGCAGCGCTGCTTGTAAAGGCGACTCACCTTATAAACCGACGACTTGCGAGTTCTATTTCCAAGGGTTGTAAAATACCGAAAACACGTTCACATGCAATTATATGGCACTCGTAACTATAAAACTGTAAGAACAAATTCAATATGACAAGCACAAATTTATTAAGCGTGCAAGTAGTACAGCTTAGTCAGATGATTAGCTTAAATACATAGTTACAGTATATTAAGTCAAATAGATTCGTTAGATAACCAATTAAGAGTTGTACTTCAAGGGAACATTATATCATAACAGCTGACAGTTATGAGATGAAATCCATTTTGTGTGTTCCTAGGCTACAGTGGGCATGCGCGTAAAGTCGCTCCCACTCGCTCATCATAGAGCATACTTAAATTATCACGGTATATATATTGAACTAAATGTTTCAAGTGTTGTCTCTGATACCTAGGTCGTTAGATATTTCATCAGATGTGTGACTCCTGCGGTCCGAAACAAAATGTGCCTACGTTCGGATTCGAACCTAGATCACCACAGTGGTGTGTGTACCATGGAACCAAATTGTAATTAACATGGGACGATTAGAGTTTTCTGAAATAACAACAAAGTTTCCTCGAGACCTCTCATCGAAAAAAAAATCTCCCCGTTTCGCAGGTTGTTCCACTTGGTGTCTGACCATCGAGCGCTATTGGTTATAGAGTAGGCACTCTATAAATTACGTTTTTGTAGAGTAAACGAATGATGCCCCTAGTCAGTCGACAACCCCTTAAATGTGAGAAGTTATTAATGTGATTCTCGTATACTTGTATACAATATGCCGCAAGCAACTTATCGAAAAGTAATTAAATAAGGAAAGTATCAGCTTTTAATTGCTGAAGGCCGACTCATAATCAGGCTTATAGCGCTGCGTCCATCAGTTCAAACGTCAGATCATTCGAACGAGTGCTTTATACATTGCAAGAATATTGAAAAGAGGGATATTCCGTTGCGTTTCAATTTTTTGTAGAATGAAAATTAAGTACTAGGGAGTGTAGCTCACGCTTTATGACAGGACGAGCTCCAAATGCTCGCACGTGACGCCAATGCTACGGACATTTTGCGGTAGAAGAACCAACGCTATGAATCCACGCCGTGTACAAGTGGCAGGATCGCCTTAAAGTCATTTCACATTCCAGCACAGTTGTCGTAGAGAAAATTGTGGAAAAACCTGAAACAACTGGTGTCGGAGGGCCGCCGAGATACCTTCAAGAAATTCGCAGAAGAGATAAACATCCCACACCAATCACGTCAGACCCCATTCTGACCGCAGAAGGCTCACATTAGGCAAGGATGGTGCCGTAAAGCGTATTGGGTTTCGAGCAAACACAAACCGGTCAATAACTGTCTCAAAACCCTAATATATTCAGGAAGAAGCTGGATTCGTTCAAATGGGTATAACCAGGAGACAGAAACACAACCGCCTAAGTACTGATTCAAAAGTAGAAACTAAATTATTGATTTTTTTCGTCCAGGTAACCGTTTGCATGAGCTAGTCCATATGCATATATATACCTCATAATCGAAGCGCATCGCTTAGGCGCGCAGATGCATACTATGCAATGGCAATTGATTGAACGCTCTTCTAGCGTTCTGTAGAAGTCCGCGCCATTTGTGATAAATTTGAACAGATTGTACATTTGTATGTCGTTGTCTTTAGAGCCTGTTTAACTGAAGCTACAGATGGAAACCTTTTTTCTCCGTCAGACTATATCAACTCATTTATTTGCTTTCGTGAGGCGCGGCCCACTCTCAAAGGCGCTATTGACAGTACGCGCTTTAGACCTCAGTCCGCCACGGTAACCTTAATAAAAGAGCTTAATTATATCGATGGCTGCTTATTAAAGCAGTCATCTCAAATGTCCATCGTCACTTTTTGGAATACGCACGTCCACACTGGTGTTAAGGTTAAAAAAATTATCTAGAACTCTAAAGACAAGCAAACTGCAGTGATATTGTCGTCTCGGCAGTTGTTTCTTGCAAGCAGCATACGGCTATTGTAAAATACAAGACGCTTGCATTAAAAGCAGACTGATTTTTTATTATCAACTTTTATTTATCAAACTTACATTTACAAAATTGACTAAATCGAGGTGCAAAAATCAATTTAATTTCACTTATATTTGTAGTGTTATTTCACGCGAGTACATGTAGAATGTACAGTGGATGTTATGTCGAGTTAGGCCAGTTCCATCTATTAGAATGGCAGATCTTCCAGCTCATGTATAGCCATGCATAATACACCATGTGGATCACCGTCGTCCGTCTTTTCACCGGCCAAGTCAGTTCCTGATAGTGGTCAATTGGACGTCGCCCGAAAGCCGACTCATTCCCCCTACGTGTGCATTAGCTGTCGACAAAAAAAACGAGCGTTGCTGAAACTCTGTCAGATATATTACTTCAAACATTTGAAGGCAGCTTTTTAATCTGTGTTACTATAAAGAACGGCAATTGGTCATTAGATCTTTACTGATTGACAAAACAATTCTATTTTGTCGGATCAGTTGTAGCTAGTCCAAATAGGATCCTCACGCTCTTCCTCTTTGTCATGGCGCTCCATCACTTCGTGGATCCATTCTATATAGTGCGGGACGTGTGAATACACATCTGGGAAACCCCGTTTGGCGCAACCTGAGCCGAACGAAGTTATGCCGGCCAAGTACCAGCGACCGTTGTGCAGACGACACATTAATGGACCACCGCTATCGCCCTGAAAATAACAACAAGAATAACAGCAACAATTGCATAGAAACGTTATGTCCGCATATAAAACCTGCAGCAAGTTTACCCGTTCGCTTCAACAAAATCGATTGCGAAGCATAATAAAGAACTTGATTGAAATTTTAGGGACTTGTTTTTCGACTCACATCGATTATAATGTAAGGGTTTTTGTCGCGACGAACTAGAAAAAAAAAGCTTCAAATAATATAAATATGAGCATCATTGTTTTTATTATAAACAATCGTATGTGATAACCTAACCTAACTCTTTGAACGAATCTTTATATATTTATCTGGACTTTACGTTGCTTCTAAAAAGTAAAGGAACCCCTTTCAAACTTTTGTTCTTTAGGTCAATAAATGGAAGATAAAATGAACCGTAAATCGTTTCTTTCCATGACATAACAACGTAAATATATCTCGTAGAATTATCCAAGTCTATATGATAGATGAATATATGCCTTATGGTGTTGCAGCAAGCATTGCGCATCTATGAGCTCTCGCATCAGAAAATAGCGAAACAGAAGCGCCAGCCAATACTCCACTTATTCACTCCTCTGCTCTACAATGTAGAGTTTCGGCTGCAGCCACCGTTGAGGTTCCCCTACTGGAACTATTAAAAATAATGGGAAAAACAATGGGAATTGATAGCAAGCATGAAGGTTTATTTCCGACTTTATAAATATTTTTGCAGTGTTCAGGTTCCACCAGTCAGTACGAGAACAAGTGTACCTGCAGAAAATTGAAAGCTCCTTAAAACTGAGGGAATGAAACACGCTATACATCAAGCAAGCCTGTTCCAGCTGTTTTGGGCGAACTGCCACATATTGCGACCTTCATCCCCACGCTATTTCAACAGACCAGAACGCATTATGACTATTGTTATTATTATTGTTATAACCCGTATGTGTTTAGAAAACTGAAGGAAAGATAAAAAAAAAAGTTATCGCAATATCCACTCTACGGACTTGTGGAGAACTCAGAGAAAAAAAAAAAGCCAAAAACAAAAAGGTGATACGTTTTTCCGAACAAGACAAATTCAGTACTATAGATCTACCAAACGACCAAAAATTAACTATTTTCATAAAATAGTGAAAGAATTATATTTAACTCACATGGCAGGTTCCTCGACCTCCATCAAGCGTGCCGGCGCAAAGGTGGTACTTTTTTATGGCAATTTTAAACTTTGGCCTGTATACCGCATCGCAAACGCTGTTGTCAAATACCCGAACGAGAACTTCCTGAAGAACGTTGGATGCCTTGGCGTCTGTATGCGTACGTAATTAGTTAAAATCCAGTGCAAAAATCAGCGAAGTTTACGGAACGAAGTAATACGGGACTGGTCACTTGTTTCATATCGATACTTGTAGATGCTTATAAAGCCGAGTCTGTTAAGCGTGTTGAGGCACGTTTTTGATAGGTGAGGTAGGTTTACTCGGCGTTAAAAAATGAAGTCAAAACCGCTTGACATGTAAGCAGTGTTCCACTTAAAATCCATAAATACACAAAACCGAACTATTATGCAATTGTCTATTGTTATAGCTGGCTGATTTATTATAATAGGTTTTTAATGTTACACTTAAGACAAGTAGCACATTGAAGTGCACCTTTCGAGCCTCGGCCGAAGTCATGCATCACGGAACCTCAAGCACGTTCGTCGATTCTCATAATTTCCAGCGAGCTTTAAGCAGCAGTACAAGATTATCAAAAAAAAATCGAAGTAATCAATTGGTTGTTATTAATGTGCAAGTAATGCGCTAACAATAATACTCACTGTAATCAATTTTTCCCCAGCCAGTGGCAATGCAAGTTAAGCCCTGAAAGTCGTCTTCTTCTTCGGGGAGACATAAAGGTCGAATAAAGTTCGTCCAATTAGCGGGCGAAGCCATTCGAACTAGGGCTATATCTTGTTCGTAGCCCTTATACCATGGGTATGGGTAGATGTTCGATACCTGCATATGAAAGTCATTGTAATATACGTCTGCATATAGGTTTGTATGTAGATAGATTTAATTCATAAGGAATAAGTAACAACTTCTTTTTCACTCAGTTACTATGTTACATATTGAGTAAGTCAATGGAAACTAGCCGTTCCTTGCAAGTTGAAGTATCATTAAACCAATTTTATTAAGTGATAGATTATTTCTTATTACGTCAATGTATATACCCTAAAGGTATATGATGCCTCTATCTTCAAATACTGTAATAACTTAATCTTTCAATTGTTTGATAAACAAAGAACGATGACATTTCTATAGTTACTGTAATGAAAAAACTCGATCACGTTTTTTTCCCCACTTCCAATTATTTATTATGGACACGACGCATACAGTTTACGGGCTTCGAATTGAACTGAAGCATTTTAGGTAAATACGAGTAGGCTAGAACAAGAAAACTAAGGATTATATCAATAAGGGTTGTTATCCCGGAGATGGGGCACCGGCAATGGGTCTGTTTCATAAACCCAGGGGCACGTGTCATGTGGTCTAATAGCCGTAAACCATCTGAAACTATATTTAACTAAGGCGGTATTGTACCCAAAAATTCGAAACATTTATCTTGACGAGTAGAAATGGCATTCTACTAGTAAATTCGCATTTATTCCTTAGATTCTTATACCTTAACTGTAACTTCTGTGCCCTCGGTAAGTTTCATTTTGTGGTCTCCGAGGCGGACGGTCCAAAAGGTAGGTTGCGGAAGTGCGAACATCTGGCTACAAGAAGGAAGAAGGCATGTCCTGATTGATGGTTAATTGATCAGCATGAAAGCCGCGACAAGGTCGTGGCAAATGTAAGCTAACGGAGACTGACGAAATTCTTCTCAAATAATTGCCTATCCCAGCTAAAAAAAACCCTGAGCCAAAAATATTTAATTCATTGTCACTGTTACGTTTACGCATTGGACAGGTAGTAATGTAAATTCATTTTCAATTTAATTTCCATAGGAATTGTAATTAATTAATAAATATAGTGAAAAAAACAGGCAAGTTTCTAAATTCTAGTAACGTTACAGTTTACATGTAAAGTTAAAGAAATCAGGTTGAAAATTCATATATCTCGTCCTCAATATAGGCTCACTTAATAATGCAGTGTGCAGCTGTCACGATCCAACGACGATTAACGATAGCTCCCCCGCACCAATGGCCGAGCTTTCCTGCGGAGGGATGACGCAATAAAAGCGACACCTGCCATGGCCAAGCACCGCTTTCCGAATCTCGACCGCCGACAATCCGGAAATCAGGATCCTCTTCTGAAGCTAAAACACTGATGCCGCATCCCGCTGCAATGGAAACGATATTGGTCAAATGGATCAATAAACTACCGCGGGCAAGCTTCCACTTGAAGAGGCGTGCGGCTATCTAAAAGAAACGCCACAGTACATTAGTATCGTTGCCAAGTTACTACAAAATGCGTTTAAAGAATAGTCTGTATATATTTATACACATGGGGCAAAAGCCTCTAGACAGGTATGCATATATCTTGTATGTACTAGAATGTGACAAACGAACCAGGCGGACTTCTAAACTGAATAACTTTTGAACTAGTCAAGCTTGCATAATGACCTAATGATTGTACGTATGTTAGAGATACTTTCATTTATTTTTCATACACTTGTCCCAACGTTCTGGCAGATTCCAGATCTACCACTCGTTGAAGCATGCAAGGCTCCGTAATCGTACGGTCTTAGATCGGCAGAATAAACAGGTTGAAGTTAACGTTTGGCACTGTCATCAAGTAGCCAGGCGGCGTTCTTTTGATTGCCACGCTAATGGTCCGTGAATCTCTTAAGAAGCTCAACATAGCGGGCTGCATTCATTGTTTCGTTTCCAGGGAGTATTTCATAATAGTAGATGCCCCTGATGTCTGGTGCAATTACTACGATTATTTTATGTCCGAACCTCTTCGACACTGCCATCGAACCCGGTTTCTCTTCAGTGAGACGCCGTCTAACGGTAATAATTGAACCATTGCTCGTTTATGGACAACGTGTATTCTGCGCAGGTGTTCTGTTAATTAAAATTCCATCTATTGCGCGTGGATTGCCCCACATGTTTTTTTTTTTTAACTTTATTTAAACTTAACTGGAGTCAATTCACGGGAGACCCATTTTTACTAAGTTCCCGTATTTTCTGTCTTTGATTTATAATTTTGTAATGTTACATATAAAATGTCAGAGGAGCCTTTAGGCTCATCTGCTTTCGTGATATATCTCTTCCATTTCTGCAAGCCGTTTCATCTGATTACGACATTTGATCAGCTCTTCACTGGTCTTCAACACTCCAATCTCCATTTTCAAAACGTTTGCCCCATTCACGTCTCTTCGCGTAGTGTACTCACCAATCGTCGATGAATGTTCGTAGCGCCGTGGCTTCCGATGAATAATAATCTGACTATTGAGCGTTGATTTTCGACATTAAAAGATGTTTTTCTTTCTAAGCTGATTTCTCCTTACTCGCAAATTTCTCGAAGGATGGTGTATTTACTAGCCAAATTTCGTCTGCTAGCGGCGCATAGTTCAAAAGTTGTTCAATTTTAAGGCCGGAATTACTTGTAAGAGCCTAATGTATGCAACACACACCCAGACACGCAAATATGTATATATACATGAAACACTACGTTATGGTCCGCTTCCCTAATGTAGCCACAATCATAGGGTATTGAATGCGCGTTATGACTTACATTGAGGAGACTGTGCTTCAGAATTTGAAGGCTCGTCTTCCGGTTTTAGGTCAGGTGGAACCGGTGCCAGGGTTGTACTCGGACGCTTTTTGACAACTCCCTTAGAGCCGGTTGTAACTGGCGCTGAGGTTGAATTAAATAGTCCGTCAAAAATAGCTGTGTTTGAAGGATGTCTAATTGCCTGTCGAAATGAACTCGTTGTAGGGCTAACAGTATTCGTCGTTGATTTTGGCTCTTGATATATTGATGAGGTCGGCACTTGTTTCGTGATCCAGGTCAAGGGCCGTTTTAAATCACCCGGCTCCTGGATTTTGGTTGCTCTTGGCGAAGAAACGGCAGCATCCAAGTCAACACTATCGTCATCGAGTACCACGACATCGTTGTCATGAACAACCACCTCACCGCTGTTAAGAAGCTGCTCATCTCCCTGCGCGAACAATTCAGACCCAATGTCTACTGTGCTTAGCAGAAAAAGCAACACACATCGGAGCCATCCAATGTTGTGATTTGGCGTCAACATAGCCAACATCTTGCGCCAGCGATTATTGTGGATTAATCACGAAGCTCCTTTAGCGGCGTCACTTTGCAGCATCCGCCGTGTCAGAGTTCAGCCTCGTGGCTGATATCACATGAAAGGAAGACACAAAGCTTCCGCAGGCGCAGCCCCCAGTCGCAGATACATCGGTGTTAGCTGTGTAGCCGGCCGGACGTAAACCGTAATGTAGCACTACTGAAAAAATAGTACCAATGGATAGTAATATCTTCGATTTGCACCCAGCTCGACGATCGATTGTTGATACATGAATTTTCAACGTACGTTCACACAGAAGTGACGCTAGGAAGTCATTTAGTAAATGTAAACATATCATTCTAGTACCGCAGATGGCAAAGTAGTGTTTTCATTATCGAAGGCCTCTCAAAGACATCTCGCTAAAATCGTCTAGAGAGTTAGCCAGCTATTAGCAACTGAAAAGCAATGATTGATTCAAGCAAATTAAATCGAACGGACTCATCATCTCGTATAACACAGTTTTAAGACATCATTTAGCTTCGTGATTTGTTCAGAAACGGTATTTCCAGTCGAACATGCCTAGAAAAGGCTCATTTTAAGTGAAACGTATTGGCTATTGTTCTGCAGTGAATTTCGCTGTCCTATAACAAAAACGAAAAGGAAAATTAAGCGTATATAGTGAGCACCGTAAATGAAGTTGCCAAACTTGAAATATGTACCTTTTTACTAAACGAGTTAACTATATGCCGTAGCTGCACAAGGCGGTTTTCACACTCAATTCATATTGGTTTACTTCAAGTACTACAAAGTAGCATTGAAGATATATACGTCTCTTAATTAAAGTGTGACAATATTTCCTTTCCAAAAACACTGTAGCTGTCGCTTTCATTGATAGCCTTACTATCGCTCCTGAAATAAAACGTGTTTACATAACTAATTGAAATGTTATTTTTGGCGGACTAGGTATTCTCCTACCATACATCAATCCCTCTACTAATATTAAATATTAATGAGAAATTTAATTCTCACTTTTCCGATGGATCCTCTTGTGAATTTCGGGATGCGTGACCTTCGTTACCACTTTCAGACAATCGCAAGAGGTTGCGCCGCGATTAAATAATTAATTTCTTAATATATATATATATATATATATATATATATATATATATGAACGATTCCGGCACCCGCTGTTCTTTTCCAATTTATAAAAAACTTTGCTACTTTTCTATGAATATGTTTTTAATCAACTGATTATTATTAAAACCGGGGAAAAAAATTGAATATGCTTTATCTCTTACCTTTAGCACATTGAAGACATTCAAGAAGTGACAATAGTGGTGTGTCTCCTATATACAGTACTATATTCAGAAAGATCGGGACAATTTAGAGAGTATCTGGACATTTTTTATTTTTTTGTGGCCCAGTACCCCAGTGGTGTAGGGACGCTGACTTTTAGAAAAAAAAAAACATATCAATAGATAATTCATGTTTTACTGAGACATATTGTATCATGTACAAGCTAACTGAAGACGGAGTTATTGGCTTAACATAAGACAGTTCATGTAACTCGGTGAGTCTTGTTCGTAAAGACTTTGAGCAGCGAATTCAAATAGCATGCTGTGTTATAAGCTTACAAAAAAAATAATGTGCTCCTGGGGCACAGTCTAAGAGGTTGCCTAGGTAATATCTTGAAAAACACTTTCTTCATTTTCGCTACGTCCTTAACTCCGGCGTTATTACACATAGAAAAATACTTATGTATATTCCTTACTAGATATCCCGACTCTCACCAAGAAACTCATAAATAGATGATAACCTGCTATACTTATGAAAACAAAACGGTAGTACGCACGAACATTTGTATCATTACCATATATTGGCCTGTTACGTAAGCTAGATCGATGTTATGAATAGCATCATGTTAAAGTCGCAATTCTTGGCTTAGCAACTTTAATTAAAGTCAGATATACTAAAGTAGAACAGACCTGTTTTACGCCGTTAATTCTTTATGGCGAATGGCCTTATCTTGTGGGATTATTTGTTCCGGTTGTTTCGCGTCCTAAAAGCTTATGTTTAGATCATAGAATTGTAAATGATGATTGACTCAACAATCATCGGTTACTTGAATAGTTAATTGACTAAAGAGATATCACTTTTATGAGGGGTTATTAAAGTATACAAAAATATTGAAAAAATCCTTGGGGGTCACACCAAGACGAAACGACAGATCAACACATCAAGTTCGATACGGTAACAGCGCAGCGTCAATCGATGTAAATCTATTCGTATTATTGCATTGAAATAAAATAGTCACATCTCTCTCTTTACACTAGACAATAGGCGGGATAATATCCCCCCTCCGGCCGGATTCACTAAATAAGAACTACTATATTTTCCTATGACGATAAGGTAGTACGTTATGCATCTCTCATCATTATTCACGATGTTCTCCCATCTTTCCACCGAATGATGTACGGCGTCCCGCCAGAAGGACCCGGGTTTCGTCCGGAACAACTTATGTGTGGCCTCGCATAGTCATGGACCAGGATAAGCTCACCCCGTCCATCAGATACCTTTTCTCGAAAACCCTAATTGAGCCAATGCAATTGGACCAAATAAACATGCCTATTAACTATCCGGTTCCTAAGAAGCAGTTTACAGTGAATCCCTGTTGCAGTTTTACAAAAAGCAATGCATAACCTTTTTTGGATGACATTTTTATTAGACTTCCGATATTAGTTTTTCCTGGAGCCACCTACTTTAATCTGTGGTTTGTGCTGGTACTGTTGCCGGGCGCAGGTGATTCTGTGCAAAAATCGGTCTTAAAGTCGCGTGGCACCATGTTGAGATGAAACCTTAGGCTGTAATATCTGATTGAATTCGGAGAGATTCTGAGGCATCCAAGTTCTAAGTTTCAGTGTGCACCTAACTAATTGAAGGTGGTTATTATCGGTCGTGTGCTTGCAGTTCATCTTTACGGTTAATTCCCGAGTTGTTTGTTGGCCGTCTTCTTTCATTCAAATGGTCGTCATGACAGTGAAACGGTTGCCTAGAGTGAGGAGCGTCTCTTCGGTTCCGGACACCGTTTTTGGGCTTATTAAACCTTTTTTGAGCAGTCTTTTCAAGAATAGCGCCGTTATAGTATTCAAGGAAAATGTACTGGATTGTTTCGACAGCGCTTTGGCCTCAACCAAACAAATAATACAGAAAATGTCGAAAACCTGCTTCTTTGAATCTCTGTCGATGTACTGTCGTGTTCGAGCAGTATATCGAAAGTAAACAACAGGTAAGGAAAGGCGATGAAAAGCTTTAGAAAATAATTGATAGCCTATTAGCTAGACTAATGGCTCGAAAAGGTCGCTTTTTACTACAAGCTACGAACACTCAGGCTATGCGTTAATGCAGCTGTTTTTTTGGTTTATGTCTAAGTTATTGCAGACTTGTACTGTTAGGCAAGTAAGTATAATGTGCTATGTCATACGTAACACGAACGTAGTGCGTAACTAGTAAAGGTATCTAAAATTCTATGCAAATACTTACCAAATGTTGTAAATTGTGTTGAATTATTAGGTCATGAGAGGGAGAGAGGAAAAGGAAAGGGGGTCTTACATAGGGTAAGGTTGTCATAGTATATAGACTCCTATGGTTTACATATTAAACCGCCCTGTTCGACATACGCTCCTTCACGCTCAGACAAGCAGTAGTTCTTATTCTTGCACAAACAGGTTAAAAGTCGAAGAGGAATCTAATTGATGCACGCTTAGAAAGTAGAGAGAAACTTACCCTTAGTCCAACGTCGTATCTGCTTAATCCCAAGGTTCAGGCTACAGGTGCAGCACTGTCGTTAGGACTGTGACGGTGAACGTTGCTATTTGCGGTACCGTTGAAGAAACTCAACAACTTCACACCATTTTCTTCCTTTAAGCTGACACGTTTGCAACAGACAAGCATTAATGTTGAGAAGGTCACACTGAATTCGATTCAATCCACTATGTGATTCTATTGACGGCTAATCATACTGTACTATAATATAATCAGCCTTTCCGACGTACTCCTTCATGCACTACAATTGTTGGTATTAATAACACCTGTGTCCACAAATAAAGTCAGCTGCTTTCAGCTGCTTCAGGGAACACATTATAGTGACAAAATGCCTTACGTTTACAAACACCCTCTGCTATAGAAAACCTATCGAACTGACAATCAACTACAATTTTATCATTTTGGTTGGTCATCGAAATCGCCCTTCGGGACCCCGGTCTGCTCTACTGCTCATTGGCGCGTATTTACTACCAACAAATATCGCGCACTTGGGATGCTTGCTGGTATTTCACAGATAGACACTGGGCGATGAATATACGCAGATGGATCGGGAATGGCAGTCGTTACATCATCTTCTTCTGAGTCTCGTCTCAGATCTTTCAGCGATTGTCTCCGATTTCACGCTTGTCACACCTGTCACCTGAGACATTTATTATTGATGATGGCGATGATCTACAACCACGCTCGCATGACGGCCTCCCGGCTTGCCTGCCGATCGGTTTGTCTAATTCCTGATGTCGTCCGGTGCGCTCCTTTGCGTCTGATTCATCCTGATGCGAGTCTGGCCCTGCTCTGCTGCGGCTAGCGCATTCATAACAAGAACAAAGTTCAAACGAGGGTTGAAGTCGAGAAAATCTTACTTCTGTCGCGGTAAAAAGGCGACGTAGGGGCGGAAAGGACCCGTATAATTGTCTTTACTCTCGCCTGCTGTCCTCCTTGCCCACCCGCGAGCCGTTGCTGCCGCCAGTGATAATGACGATGATGACGATGACGGCGAAGACGATGATGGCGAAATCCGCATGTCGTAACACGATTTTGCCTTCAGCTAAAGTTCTATGAGAACCATTTGTACGGGCGGCAATTGTTACACATGATTCGTTTATAATCACTTATGATTCGCCGTGATGAGAGGAACTGCAGTCCTATAACAAGACCTGAAAAGTAAATAAAACTCTTATAAGGGCTCATATGTACATCTTCATCCGAATAGAAGAATAGGCACTAATAGTTATAGAGCCCAACAATGACTCTTTACATGGTTGGTTTGCTTCTTCAGACATTTTTTGGTCACAAGTTGTCGACTCGAGAGCATCTCATGCTCTGATGCATGACTGAAGCACCTGACGATAATGGATAGAAGTGACCCTTAGTTCCGATAACTTAACCTTCAGTAGCTTAAAAGGAGATCTCAAGCGTTATTATAGAAACGTGCTTGTAGTACAGGAATTTCGCAGAATAATCAACCTTGCAGGCACTGTTTGTTCTGTAAAGAGTACGAGTTAGCCCTATTTGGGGTCGCCAAATTTGCAATGACACCTGGAAATCGACTTTGAAATATTTCATATGAGCCAATAAATTCAACAGAAAGACGATGCAGCGCTACAATAAATTCTTTGATGATATCCGTCAATAACAAGCAGTTCCGTATGTGGTCTCGTAGAAATCAAGATGACATTTTAGAGCAATTTTTCTACTTAGGCTGAAATAATTCTATAATATTATTATTATTGCAAATCTTGAAATTATAATGCCAAAAATATATACTCGTGTTTTACTTGCTTCTACGGGATCGTGATTCACCCTTTTTCAGTATCAATTTTCGTAGCAATTTCGTATATCTGTGTTATCCTCCTGAAGCTTCACAAAACAAGCGTTCCGATGTCAACACGCTATACCGATATCAATCACCCTTTTGTTATTTATATTACAACATTTTGTATGTTTGAGCTTCTGCATTTTCCGCGGTAAACTCTGCAAGTTTGTTTCGATACGATTTCTAAATTGTTCCATGATGGTAGCCTAATAACGATCGTGAGCTGTTTAGTTCTGTCAGAGAAAGAATTGCTTAAACAAGCGAGAGTATTGTCTTTTGTTATTCACCGCTACTTGTTGCATAACTAAAGATCGGATCCCGAAGAATCGAGTGGGTGTCATTCGCACCTCGAAGACACTCAGCCACCGAAGACGATCGATAATATGTTTATTAGTCATTGATCTTCAAACAATAGCATTCGGTCGACCTTGACCATCAGACAGAGCGTCAGACAGGGGGTGAACCCGATAATTTACATTTTAAGTTATTTGCACTTAGAGATATACAGCTGCTAGTTTTATCCCTCTAAAATAGAGGTGGGGCTTAAATGAAATAAATGTCTGCCGCATAACAGTATTTATCTTTGCTAATCAACGAACACAAATAAATGATGAATTTCTTTTCGCTTTCAGCATTGGAGTCTATATAATATAATTAGTTAGGGCATTATAATATAATCTGATTAAATGCATAGACATACCGACTAGGCTGTTCATTTTGTACAGTTTCATGTCGATTACAGAAAAAATAGTTTCTAAGTATTTTTTGCTTGCGAAACGTTTGCTAACTATGCGTATAGAGAAATCGGTCATTTGTTGCCAAACCATTGAGTTCCAATATTGAAAACCTCCTACCCCTTTTTCTATTTTTACCTTTAAACAAAAACAAATTTCAGTACTTCCGAACCCAAAATCTGTACTTAAGTCCAGCAGCAGCTGGGTCGATCCGTGCAATTTAGATTGGCTCCAGGTTTCTTTGTTTTATTATTGCAATCAAATCGTCTTTACGATCCATTTGCGGGGCCGATTCAGTTTTTAAGTTTATCAATGAGGTCGCACGACTTCATAGGGCAACGTGAATGTGTGACCTGAAGGCTGAAAACGAAAGAGCCCATGCTCTAGCAATTTTTTCTGGACTATGCGTCGGCTGCATGTCAACGCTATCTATTCACTAGTATTGAACCTGTGCATTCATTGCCCATTACCTAAATATTAAAATATTTATGACTAAGAATCCTTAATTAAAATGATTCTTAACTCAATAAAGTTGAACGTCTCCGTTCCCCTAAAATACGTGCCTATATTACGTAGGATAATGCAGAACATGCTGTATTAATGCAGTATAGATAACATGAACATAATTTATTCTGAAAAAATGTATACACGCTGACACAGTTGATAGTTTTCATTTTGGACTGAAATGGAGCTCAACCGTATTAATAAACATTTAAACTTGTCATTTTTTTGATTTTATCACTCACTGCGCGCTGAATATCGGCTATCGTTAAGCCAGGTCAGTTCGACCCAATCTTGAAACGCCCGACATTGTCCAAGCACTTGAATGGTTGATGGTTGGTCACCCTCAAAGTCGGGATAGGATGTAAACGGGTTTAATTTTTTTTCTACAAACATTAACAGCTGTCGTATAGTACTGAATAGGTCAAACGTCTCTGTGTAGCTTCGACAGTAAGATAAATGTTTTTTTTGCTGGATCATTCCACCTTAACGAGAGGCAACTCTATTTAGTAACTCACTAATTAACAGTGTATGTACCTGTAAGGTATATTAACTGTATTTTGTCGAAGCTCATATTATAGCTCCGTTTTTCGGTTAGTAACTACGAAGATGCTACACTAGGACTCTGAATCTGCATACGAACTCGCATGTTGCAACCACACTGGAAAACCCTTTTCAGGTGTTGTGAAGGAACCTCTGAGCCTTCCATGGGAAGTGAAGTTCTTTAATGAATCTCGTTTCGCACTCTGCTCAACCTGAATGAACTATCCATTTCCTGCTATCGTACTCCAGTATGCAGCGAGAAGGCGCATGAACTTGAAATTATATATATGCAACAAAATATAACTATCCTCAAAGTTACTTTATAATAAGATGTTATAACAATGATACGTCGCAGAAATTATGCGTAGTCAATGGTAAAGGGACTAGTCGATAGTCCATAACTGATTCGTTAATGTTATTGATATGAAACTTCCGTTTCCAACCATTACGTTTCCATATCACTATATATAGCAATATGCATAACCAGTTGAGTATTTACCATACGACGCTTGCTTTGTGAAGCATTTAACACGCATGGTGCAGTGAATGATTCGACAAGGTTTATTTGCAGGGGCTGATAAGTTTGCAGCGGACAAAAACCGAGGTTCAACGAAACGCGATACTCGCAGTAACGTGTCGCTGGTGGCTTAAGTGCTACATTTCTCAATTTCAAGATCAACTCTAAAGAATATATGCTCAAATATAACAAAGTACAAAGCGTATATGCATTGAAAAATTGCTACTTCCAGCGAAGTTTCTAAGCAAAACTCCGACCATAGCAGAGACATCTGGCCGGGGGACCTCGCATGCTGCCCGCTGTGCGATCTGAAATCTCCTCTGCTCAACTTCTATACGAAAACGGTCTTCTAGAGAATGTCGAGCGAAGTCACTATCTCATCTCAAGCGAGATACGACTCTGTGGATTAAATTATCGCCACATGATTTGCGCTTAGAGGATGATGGCTGTTAGTCCATAGACACAACAGCGGCTACTCTAGTAGAGAAAGGTCTGCCCAACCAGCTCGAAAAATCCCGGAAGCCCTTATGAGAGACCTGGTTCTATCAAGAGATAGTTAAGGGTTTTTGGTCGTTTCGCTGATTCTCTTATTCATAATTATTTCTGCTTGACTAAAAACCAAGTATATTAAATTCCACTAACCATCTAGGTTTAGTTAAGTTTGCAGAAAATATTAGTCTTGAGCGCTGTTTGCTATTTTTCATCACCACCATTCGAGCACAACGTATTCATGAGGTCGCAAATTTTAAAAACATATCCCGAACGCAGTTAATTGGCGTAACACTCGATAACTTCTAAAGAATTTCGTTGACAGTAGTGTGCGGCAATTTTGAGCATTAATGTAAAAGGTGACGGTCTGTTTCTGAGCTAGGAGTAACGTTTTTTTAAGAAATGTTTAAAAAACTCCCTTTTGCCTGTTCGTAAAATCAAATTTACTCAAAGGCACGTACACGGTCCGAACAATTAGAGAAAAGTTTCGATTCCCGTTGTGCCCAGCCTAAATCCACCTACAGTTCACCTTCGCACGGACGACGAGAAACCAAACAGTTATCCATACCTTTCCAAATCTAACACGTAAACAGAGCCAGAGCCTTCGGAGAAGTTTCTCACTGCTGCTACCTATCTACCTGCGTACCAGTGCCCCGATTCCTAATCGAAGAAATCAAACTGTTGAAGGAACAAATGTAACCTAAGGTTAGGAACTCGACCAAGCGAACATAACGGAACTATACCTGCGAGTGCCGCTATCAGTGTATATATATGATCGAAAACAAAAACGACATCTCAGGTTAATACTAGGTCAGGGTGGAAAGATGCTGTAAACATTGCGCTGCTGTCGAACATAACATCTTCCATTTGGGTTGAATGTCGACCACTTTAAGGTACTTGGCCCTTTCCTGTCGACATAAGGCCTGCCTGGTTAACGTTGAGGGCGAGCCTTAGTAAAGAACGCTAATAAGTCAATCAGAACATGTCAGTTTGGACGATTTGTTGGCATTATTGAAATGTATATAAGTGATCTATGTTGCGAAAGCATCGTTGTAGATTAGCAAATACATATTAATATTCGACATCTGATTGTCCCTTTTGCATCTGACTAAGCTTTTACCTGGTCATTTCCATTTGAACTATAGCGTCAAACCGACTCTTAGCCGTAAGCCCACTGCAAAAAACTGTAAGCCCGTTTTCAGCCGTTCCCGCCTCCTAAAACGTAGTGCACGAGCACAGTAAATGATTGTGTTACGGATCAGGAATCAAAACGCGATCGTATAGTGATTACGTTTTATTAGTACCTGTTATAATTATTATAGGGAATACTGCGCAGTATTGGTTTAACGAATGGCTAAGTGATTAGTCATTTTTTTAAAATTCTTCTCTCAATACGTTCGAATACATGCGACATATGTAGTGCTATATCTAAATTAAACCATTGAAATCTTCGTAATCAGTTCCTTACCTCAATTTACTCTTTTTCTTCTTCTATTATTCTTATATTACCTTATTGTCTTGACAAACTACTTTCTTATAACTAGTTAGTTTCGGCCGTTTCGAGATGTTCATAATATCAGAACGTCAGATGTGCGTCATGATTTGTTTGGCGCTGACCCCGTCTAAAAGTGATCTCAGAAACAATTAATAGCACATTAGTACGTTGTCTTTATAAATAGACGTATACCAATGCATGACTAGATCTTTAAATTGTTACGCAGCATGTATCCTAGATATTATTAAGTGCGTGGCGGATACGTTTGCCTATTATATATGTGCAGACGATGCAACAAGCCTTAGCTAATAAATTATTTTCGACCACTCAGGAAAAATACCAGAGCAAGTCAAGTTTTCTAAATGACACGAGGGTATGAATATCTGTTAATCATATTCCTTCTATCAGGACCTACATCTTCATGGCGCTTACATTCCATACGAATGACTTTCGTTCTTTCCGCAAAAGCTTTGCTAGCAGAGACAGCACTGCTTAAGTACTACTAATGTTAAAACAAGCCTGGAAAAAAACAGAAGAATGACGCTTTTTAGCAGTGTATCTTTTTTCTTGAATACGGCCGACACGTTCTCTACCAATATACAATACGACTACGAAGCGCGGCTCAACGTAATCTGGCATCTCGGTATTTTTTCAATCGGCCCTTCTCGCCCGCCGGGTTCGCCTCCTCAATTTTCCACTTTCTTCGAAGCCACCACTCGGGGCGGACTCCTCATAGTAGAAGTTCTGCGAAGGTAATCGCGACTTCATAGAACCCCCAGATGACGGATTGTTCTGGTAGTTCCCGTTGACTCGATCGTCGTTGCGGTAGTTTTGGCGGGAATTTCTTTCGCAGGTCGCATTGCGCTCATCAGTCCTTTCGACAACGGTCGTCGCTGTCTTGAAAAGATCTTCAGGCGTAATGGATTTCCACTGTTGGTAGTCGCTTGGTGAGGGTTCTTGGCCGATTTCACCAAAATCATTCCCTCGACCTTTTGTGATCAGCTCCTGAAGAATTTGTAGGTTGTTTTGTAACAGAGAACCATCGCTGCTGTTCTCCTCTGGCGTTCGTTCCGTAACAAATTGACCATAGATAACGTCGTCAAAGCACTGAAGTTTAGCTCCAGGTTCGATCTCTGTCGCATGGTCGAGAAACTGAAATCTTTCCTGATTCCGGTATATTTCATCGATTGTATTCGCTGAAGGGTAAGGCGGATGATGTCGCTCTGCTTCGTTCTGATAAACTACTTTCTGCCTACCACTAGCCAATCTCTCGTCGTCGTCGTCGTCCGGAGGAGGCGTTCCGCATAGACACTCGGGGTGTTTCACATAAACTGATTTATTTACTGTAACCTTCTTTTTCTTCTGTTTTTTTTTATCTGGTGGCGTTTCCTGACAGAACACCTCTTTGACTTCGGCATCATTTTCGTCCTCTTGGTCTGCTTGGTAAAGCCTGTCATCACTGAATGATTTACTAACTTGTTCAATACCTTCCACGTTGTGCACAGTCTCCTTTCCCGCAGTGACGTCCCGATCTTCACGATCATGTTGCTTCTGTTGCTGGTTACGGTTTTCTTCGCCAGATTCGGCAACGTGACCAGCTTCATCAGCATCGCCGTCATCCACAACGTATTCTTCCTTCACGGCGTCCACATTTCGCGCTGTGTTTGTCGTATGCTGCGGTTGCTTCACTCGTTCTTCTCGACCTCCATCATCATCATTATCGTCATCATAATTTTTGCCGTACTCTTCACCATCATAAATATCTCCTCCATCGTCAACGTCATCGATAGACTGAGATGCATCTTCATCGTTTTTGCCTTCTTGCTCATAATTCTGTTCTCCGGACTGATTTTCGATCTCCCTCTCACTTTCATCGCTGTCTTGTTCGGATGGGGCCTCTGAAGGTGCATATTCCTCCTCTTCTTGCCTTTCTACGTCCACTTCTTCATCATCCTCATCGTCAGCTTCAAGGTTGTCATTTTGCGATGTCGCATCACCCCGGACATACTCATTGGCTTCGTTTGACTCTGCTTCGGAATGCTCCACAGCCTCCTCGCCTCCGGCTTCTTCTTTGTCAGAAATTTCGACATCGTCTTCTAGCTCGGCCGTCAGTACCCCTTCCCGCTCATCAATGTCATCAACCTATGTGGGGGTTTGGGCAAATGATTCGTTAGACTAGGCCCAATAGCCATCACAGATTGCCATGATTAATAGAGGCGAAAAACATTAGGGATTTTTCGTTTATGTGCTCTCTTTTTTAAACTAATCAAAAATATGTTCAACTCTGTAATTCGTAGTGGAAATGCCCACATTAGTGCCCGATCCTATTGGGGATCCCAATTTACATATACATACATATATCTATATTTACTTAGTAGGTCTAAAAACAAAAGATTATACAGTGTAATCAGTCAGTATTGACTTACAGCCATGTTTTGTAATTTTTTCGTAATTAATGCACAACTCTTAGAAATAATCTATAATTCCACGTCGCCTAGCAAACACGCTGCCGTATAAAGTCTCGCATATACTGCGAGAACATACGGCTATGCTATGAACAGTAGGTAAGTAAAAACTGATTTTAGACCAACCTTATTCTCGCCACTGGTCGTTTTCTTTTGCTCCTCAAGTTGTTTTGTCAGTTCTATTGCTTGCTTCTTGTATTCATGCATCTCGTTGACGACCACATTCAGAGCGTCCAGCATCTTGTCCTTACCATACATTTTCAGCACGATTTTAGTATTATTCTCGAACGCTAAATAAAAAACGGCAGTTAATATCTTTCTATCATCTATATGTCGAATAATACTAACATGGTCTATAGATGCATATACTTAATTGGGTGAGGCCGTACGCTTTCAGTTTCAGCTTGCGTGCAATGCGAACTAGATACTTCCTTTTATAGTCATTATACGCAATGCACATTTCACGCCATGAATTCCACTATAACACGACCATGTTATCCTTTTAGTAGCTGTGATGTTGATTCCTACCATTTCTAGGATCCTTTCTGTTCCTTTTCGGAGGCTCAAAGTTGTTGTTTTGGCCTTTGGCCACTTCGAGGCCCCCACGCCTTGCAGCCATTGCCTGTTGAGCTAGCTGCGACCGTTCATTGTAAGCTAGTCTATAACAGTGAGAAAGAGGGAGTGGATCAGAAATTTATTTTTGTCACCTGAAGTAGTCTTTAACTAGACATAAGATAATGGCTATACATAGAACTGCGGACAACGACACTACGGTATACGGTAACAAATTAAATAACTTCTATGAATGTTATATGAAGATTAAATTTCTTGCTAATAAACCTTTATATATA